ACACTAGTGCACTGGCGGATATTAACACGTTGACTACGATTGCTCCATCTTGTACTATTATTTCAGTTTTTGTACTTTTTTTAAGCAGGATTGCCAGACGGTCATTTTTTCCGGAAAAATTCCGTGATTTAGTTTTTCTCAATTGCGTTGGCTGGCTAAGATTTATGATAGGGGTACTTCCTAATTAAATTTTAAAAACTGCGAAAAGAAAATAAACGGAATTTTTATAGCGGAACCTACAAATAAACTAGTATACATTGAATTATTGGCCTTTTTTGTTCTCGGATTTGGCCGATTTTAGGCAACCTGAATTATGCACCACTATCTTCTGGAAAAATACATTTCGTGGTACGCATATGTACCAATACGTAGTCAACGTATTAAACACTGCTGCATCCGTAAACACTACTGCACTGGATTAAACACTGCTGCACCTGCATCCGTAAACGCAACTGCACTGGCGGCTATAAAACACTGCTATACCAGAAGCAGTAAAGAGTACTGCACTAGCGGTTATTAAAACAATACTGTACCAGTGAATATAAGCACTGCAACACCTGCGACTGTAATCACTGCTACACCGACGGCTGTAAAACACTGCTACACTTGCGACTGTAACACCACAACCCTGCAGGCTGATATCTGTCACCCCGACACTTCAAAAAATTTTAGTATATAATGTGGACCTTTTTACCGATGTATTTGTAGCCTTAGATGTCAATCCACCTACAGCGTTAACACTTGCAACCGCAACTGAGATCAATACTTTAGATGAGATGCATTGAGGAGGTCGTATGGGATCTTTTTACTGGTGTATTCGTAGCCTTAGATGTCAAACCACCTACTGCCGTTAACAATTAATAACTTAACAACTGAGATCAATACGTACTTTAGATGAGCTGCATTAAGGAGGTCGTCTAGGTCTAAAAATCGAGGAATTTGGCTTCTCAGTTTTTAGCTCATTTTATACAGTAGCTGATCAGGAAAAGGCGCGTCCAACGCAGCAAATCGTATGATCGGTATGCGTGCATTAGTTTTTGAGTGAAGTAGTTTCAAATTTAAATAAATGAAAATTTTTTCCATTTGTTTACAAATATTTTTAAGTAAAATGGTATTTAAAGATTATAAGTCGCATCAATTCAGTTGGTTTTGAGCTCATTTTGTAGCTGCGGAAAAGGCGCGTCCAACGCAGCAAACTGTATGACGTGCACGCGTTAGTTTTTGAGTGAGGTACTTCAAAATTCTTAGAAAATTAAGATTTTTACCATTTATTTCCAAAAATTTCTTTAAGAAAAATGCATTTATAGGTTATTATTTGCGTTAAACTAGATAACAAAAATTCATGCAGCGCATGATTGGCCCTCAATCCGAGAAATGGGCGATGGAAAAGCTAAGAATACATTTTCAAGCAAATTTTTTAGCCTTTACTTCTTTTTCATAATCCATATCACTTATTCGGCTTTCAGGAACAATTTAAACGGCCTCATTTAAAATGTATTTTCTCCTTTAATTTTCATGCTACAACATCGATGAACACACCATTCGATTTGTAACGAGAATGTCTAGTGGCTTTGAAAGTTCTTTTCTCCGACTGATCCAATGTTTGAATAATATAATGAAACAATGTTAGGATGGGGGGGGGGGAATAGAAAAAGTCTAATAAAAAAAATTTGAAAAAGGGCTCCTATAGAGTCGGTAAATATTTGCATTTCAAATCGAATAATATGTCTCTCGATATTGTAGCGCGTAAATTGAATGAAGAGATGGGAAAAATGTCCCTCTTTTTCCGTTTTCTATGCCTTTCACGTTTTCCTTCATTTTCTCTAAAATTCATTAGAACAAAAAGTTCTTTTTTTCGTGTTTTACATGAGGGTGAAGTTTTAGAAAGATCGGCCAGTAAATACGGTACGGATTTTTTTTAGACATAGACGATACTCTTAACACAACTCCACACTTGCAGCCGTACGTATAGCAAGTGTGAAATTATTATCACTGCTACCGGTATTATTTGATAATAATAATAATATCACTACACGGATATTATTATCATGGATATTATTACACTGACAGTTTTTATTTTCTTCTGAAGTTACACAACGCCAAAATTAAAAACTGTTGTTGTTAACGCTGTCACATCCATATAGAAAGAGAAGACGCTGTCACATCCATATAGAAAGAGAAGACGCTGTCACATCCATATAGAAATTACCTTAAGAAATAACAAGACGAGAACTTGAGGTGGAAAAACAATGACTAACGACTATACGTGATAATTTTCAGCTCAGCCTACAAACCGAGGTTATGTCTACAGATGACATTGAAGAACAAAATGAGAATGTCAAACTATTTTACATGATGAAATTTATCCCATTGTGTATCTAAAAATTTCAATACAGTTCATGCTTTATTGTTTTGAAATCTATCATCTATTAGAATGAAATTTATAGATATATTACACACATGTTCAACAGAACTTTCACTGCATATATATAGACAATTCTTTATAATTCATGTTAATTTAATATATTCATGTTCTAACCGGTAGATGTGTGTATTGGACTTTGCATTTGAATATGAGAATGAACACCCTACAAAATTTAGAGTTCATTGCAACAGGCACCTTTTATGAGATCAAATTTGAATAACACCATTCATAATATAAAAATTGTAATAAATGAAAGGAGGTTGAGATGAGAATTTTTTAGCTAAACTAGATTTATATTCCTTAAAAAAATAAATAGTAACTATAGACACATGATTGCTTCACAGATTATTATTGAAATTTGTGGATTGTATGTTTAGCTCTCTTTGCGTACCTACAACAAAAATAACCTGTCCGTCAATCATATTGTGCTTCATAATTAATGTTTATCGAGTCTATTAATCTTTGCTAATGAAGGAAAAACACTAAATCAACAGATATATTTTCCCAGTGAAAAGGATTTAGTTCCATTCCAATAAACGTTGCTGTGCATTCACGTTGTAAATTAATCTAATGGAATACATTGCAGTTGATGATGCTGGTATGCGTATAGCTCTTTATAGTACGATTATTATTTACTTGCACGATTATTATTTATTTTTGTATATAAATTTCCGGTTTAGTTCTAGACGACGAGTCTATTGCTAGCGAATGAAGTATATTGAATCGAGTCCGAAGAAATCTAATAATATTTTAACAGCTATATTCATTTTTTTAACTTAATGTCATCTGGCTCTAGTCTTTAATACCAAAAGACTTGTTATGAAATGATTGTTTATCCTTATATATACCGTGGTGAGCGAGGGTTCTGAAGGGCAGTTTCACGTAGCTTCCTTAACAAATTTTAATTTGTAATCTCAGAACTGAAAATATATGCTCTTTAACCGTAGAGTTTTTCAGCTACGGCCAAACCCTCACCCGAAAAATTATTAGACAAGCATACTTGATATATTCAGCATAATAACGTGCATCAGTAACAAAAAAAAAATAAAAAAACAATTAATAAATTCGCTTAGCGATAAAGAATGCGTAAGATTTATGTAAATATCTATTATCTTCGCTGACTATTGAGGAGTTATGAGCAGCATGCAGCTACCGTTTAGACTGCAGTTCATTTATGTTCGGGGGTAATTTGTTGAAATCGAATAGCATTCATTGAGGCATGAAATCACAGCCGCAAGCAATACAAGCAAGTACCCTAACAAAATTTAGAGTCGCCCCAGCTTCTGGTAATCCAAATCAGAAGCTGCCGCGTCTGTAAATTTTCACTGGGTACATCCAAGAAGCTGGTGCAGGCAGCAATTTTAATATATTGCTCATATTTATGACTTCAAGTCACTAATATAATATTTAGGAGCAATTACCTCCGCTCATTTACATGGGACTCCAGACATTGTTGATGAATCCTACACGTTCTCCGACAATAAATAAAATAGAATATAAAATATAAGAGGTATCATATCCTATATTTATGCAGGCATCTTAACATGAACAATATTAATTTGAAATAAACTACTCACTGCCTGATCCTCACCCCAGAATTAGACTAAATAATTAATTAAATCTATTCTGTAAAACTTTTCGTGAACGAAACAACTTCGAATTAAAGTCATAAGTCGTTTATATGTTATCTATCACTATTTTGCCCATGCAGAGCAAATTGCGCGGTTAACTTTGTACGTTAGTCGATAACAATTTCTGTAGGATGCTGACAAAAATTCATGTTAGTTACGCATTGATTCGTCAGATTAATATGTAACCTATAGCTTCTTTCTAGTTATTTGACATTGATCGTACAGGTGCTTTTACATGTGCGCATAATTAGTGCCGATACATGGTGGCTATTATGAAATTTCGAAATTACTTATAGAGTGAATACTTAATGTTCTAATAATCGAACGTACTATCGTTGTAAAACTTTATGTTGTTCATAAAACGATATATAATCTTCAACATATAAAGCAAACCCAATTATATTTCTAGTCTAACATCGAGGAAAATAATGGCAATTGCATAATGCTTGTTTGCCGAGGTGGAGAAGTTCTAGTGAATACTTGCAATGATTTTTTTTTAAATCAATACAATTTAAGCAGAATTCAACGATCGACGTTCGACGTTTTTGTTGGTCCGTGTAATTTTCCAGACGTTTTCCAGACGTAATTTTCCAGACGTTGTCGAAACGTGTACGTAGTTCCTGATTTTAAGAATTGAACTCACTAAGATTAATCGGAATCGAGCTTTGCCTTACAGAATTCCCAGCTTTTCATCCAATTGGATTCATCATAATTTACAAAGAATCAATTTCTGCTTCATAATATCCATTGAAAGATTTGTTTCTGAGAATGTTTCGTTATTTAGGCCTGATATTTTAAATAAATCGCTAAAAAAAACTTTATAAGTACAAGTATTTTGTGAGCTTAATACGTTCAAACGAAAATACGTACCGTGAATCATGATTAAGTTACTAATGATTAATTAATTAAATGATTAATTATGTAGCGCTATTCTGAGAACTTACCTTCCACAAAAAGCATGAAGAACTCCAGTAAATAGCGACCTCAGTCCAACACTGTCTTCGATCGCACTCATAAACGCTTTATTATTTCAGAAGCAGAAACAAATGAGTAAACAATCACAAAAAAAAAGAAATTTAAACTAATGACAAAAGACTAAAGATTTTCTCCGGGTCTTAAATGACACTAAAACTCAAGTAATCTTGACCAAAAAGTCTAACTGCTTTGCGCCTTGTGTTCAAAACGTGAATTTTGCAAGAATATTGCATTTCGTTGAGAATTCACCTTGAATTATTCATTTGTAATTCGCTTCGTCGAAGAAATTGATAAAAAGTTCCACATTGCGACATCACACGTAGCAACCAAACGGGAAGTGCAAGATCCGCGGTCTACAATCCAGATTTGGTTTTGCGTCGATTCAGAATATCATTAATGGCTAAAAAGGGAGATTTTATTGTGAGGTGAAATTTGGAATCGTTATACTCGGATGTTTGGAGCGATGGATAAAATTTTGCTAGAAAAAGACAGAATGTGAAATACTCCTTTTTGTGATCAACCAATGAGTAGTTCTATGAATAAAGATTTCCCTGAAATATATTCAAAAAAGTTATTACAGACAGTGATAAATAGGATTTACATTGTTACAAGTAATGATAGACGCAGAAAGGGAAAGTGATCAAAGGTTTGGAAAGGGAAATGAATTATACAGCACTATGAACACAAGCCAGTAATCCTGAAATTTTTAGATAATAGTGGACTGAAAAACATCGTATGGTCACTATCAAATAATGACGGTAATGCAAAGACTACAAAATATTTAGTGTACTTAGAAAAAAAACGTAGAGTTCTGATAAAAAAATATTTTTTTTTCTACCTCAGCCACGCCTAAATTCACGTAATTAATTTTATAAATTCATAAAGGGTCTAAGCGAGCTATCACAGACACTGCTGGTCACACAAGTTCACTCGAGAGTGTTGGACAACAACTGGAAAAAGTTTCTCGGCTGCACTGAGCCTCGCTGCAAGGGTAGGCGTGGTGCTAGTGCTACCCTTATGCCTGCGATCACACAACTAACGGATCATTTCACGCGGAATGCCGCATGTGTGTGCACGTCGTAGTGGCAACATCGGAGCCACCCGCCCGTTCACTTTTGCTATCGTTCGAGCTCCGACAAAGGCGGGGCTGGGTCTCGAGGAGAAGGCGCAGAAGGGCGGGACAAATCTAGGGAGGGGCCTTTGGCTGCATTGCTCATGACACCGACTGGATCCCCTCAACGTGCACCATCCAGCTCCCCCTTCTCCCATCCTATATTCCTCTATCCAGACTTCCAGACCCTGACGCCCTCAACCCAGGGAGTGGTCGCACCCTGCGCTCGCTGCTGCCACTCTCGCTCGCCACTCCAGGATAGGAACACGACAGGCGCTCGTCCTGTGTTGTGGATGCTCGGCCACTCATGTATATCTTCATATTAGTCGCTTCTACCAAGAAAAAATAAATGTAAATCTAATCAATATTTAAACTTAGATCGACCTTTTATATATTCTTAAAATAATTATTTACAGGCGCCCGTTCTGTGTTGTGGATGCTCGGCCACTCATGTATGTCTTCATTAGTCGCTTCTACCAACAACATAATGTAAAATCTTACCAATATTTAAACTTAGATCGACCTTTTTTATATTCTTAAAATAATTATTTACAGGCGCTCGTCCTGTGTTGTGGATGCTTGGCCACTCATAGGTACCTATATCTTTACTAGTCGCTTCCACCACCAATTAACATAATGTAAAATGTTACTAATATTTAAAATTAGATCGACCTTTTTTATGTTCCCAAAATAATTATTTATGAATAGGACTTATGAACCATCGAGAAGACTAGATTCAAGATGCCGATGGCATCGAATAATCTCCCCAGCTAGCGATATTCTGGAGTCATTGAAACAAAACACATAGTTGAGGCGCAGTTATAAATATTTTAAACCGTAATGCCGAACAATCGTTCACTCAGGCAATTTGAAACGAAACGACCAAGATAATTACAATAATAGCTCTATCAGAACGATCAATATATAATTGGAATAATAGTTTAAATATCTCACGGGACTATGACTTCTATTCAATTGAGACCGAAAAGAATATAAAATTAAAATCGACCATGGAGTTTTAATTCACTCATGATTACTAATTCCAGCACGAATTGGGAAACCCATACCGGCGTATTTATGAAATAATAGTGCGACGAATGGTTAATTATTAAAAATTAGTTAAATAATTTTTACTAGGTATTTAACTGGAACAATTGCATGAATGATTTCAAGCAAGCGTTTAGAAGACTTTAATTCAACGTAATAATGTGAATCATTCAAAAAAGAACCTTCGATTTTTTTCGAATCTAATTAAATCCGTGCGTAAAATTTATACACCGGGTCAATCCCGTGATTCTAATTCAAAGTCCCATTGGATGGATTGGACAAGCACTTGAGATCAAGACCACCTAGGAAAATGGAGGCGTAAAAAACGTTTTCTTCGGTCACGAAGGGTGTTCAGCCAGCGGCTTGTTCGTGCATCTCCTGCTGTTCGCTGTGCTGGGGGTGTAAGGAAGCCTCGTATCAAGAACACAATCCCAACTGTTTTTGACCGAGGTCAGATTGTCTAACTAAAAGCTCGTGACCATACATCATGCTTAATAAAATAATTGTAGCGACATTGTCTCTACTCGACCGCGCAAAGTAACTCAATTATATATAGAAATTGCCTCATGGGAGGCTTAATCTTTAACTGAAAGCTTGCTCTGAGTTCTCAACAACTACAAAAAAAAAAAAAACCTTAATAGTTTAAAGCAGTTGCATGTAAAAAAGATTTCCTTCTTTTTGGCGAGAGGAAAGAAAAATAGGGGACAAAAATCAGGTTTTAAATGCAATAACTACACTGCAGTGACCAAGACTCAGCAAGGTTACGTTCCGCCTATACTCAGTTCATTTCAGGGGCAAACCATAATAAACGTTTTTGTGAGTCGTATCAGGAAGCTGGCTGGCCAAACAAAGCACGTGATTCTTAATTGCAACAAAAATGCGTCGTGCGCTCCTCAGAGATAGTGCGCAGTCATTTTCCGTATATTTCTGTACCGAAGGCGTCTATTTCAATGGGTCCAATGCTCAGGAAGTCCTTTGGAAAACAATGGTCAAGCGGGCTCCGTGAATGAGATTCAGGCAACACAAACACCTTAAATCTCTGCGTAGAACAATAGACAAGTTTCAGGGGCAATCTGTTTAGCCGCAGCCTCTTGTTGACACCGCGAATTAGCGTCAAATAAATCGACCTAAATTCTGGCAGCGGTAGCTGGAAATAAGCGTATTTTGCTTTACGGTAGGTAATTAATTGTAATTGGGGGAAATTAATCAATCAATTACTAGCTTAAAGTTAAGGAATTTGGTTTATTTTATGTATGATTGATAACACTCTGAAATACAACACGAAGTTGTGAGATATTATTCTTGTCAATGTCAAGTTTTTCTGTTCAAAAATCTCTGTGCTTTTTTTTGCACAGAAATAAGAGTTTATCGGCAATGAGTGAAATACTAACAAGAAACGCGAGAATTATCGAAATAATATTTAAATCTGTAGTATATCTCATTCAATTAAATTTTAATAATAAAATGCTTGTTATAATTGAGTCTATAGACACCGTGAAAAACATAAGTTTTTTCCTTAGTAAGCTATAGCAGTCGTTTATTGTATAGGAGGATAGACTCTCAATATAACCGGTTTGTGCTCAGACTAGGAGACGAGTCTTTGTTGGAGTTGCAGCTTCGAGGAAGAGCAATGAAAGCTTTGCTTTTATGCTTTCAAGTGCAAGCATAAATGCCTAAAAAACCTACAACGTAAGCGGTTTGATAAAAACTAACGGTAAAAATGAGGTAAACAAATGTCCTAAGTGTGTAATGATGTAATACGATACGTAATGACTCAAAGTGATAAATTTTCTTTCAAAACATTTTCTCAAAAAATATTGGGAATGCAATAATTTTTTTTAATTGCAGTTTTGGCTGTGTACATGTCATGATCTGACATTCCCTGAAGCTCAGAGAGGCAGTAAAGCGAGTGACTCGCTCAATCTTACGACTAGAAAACCTACATCAAACTGCTCCACATTAGGCGAGTTTTGCAGTCGTAATATTGTGTTCCACATTTGGCGAGACTGAATTGCACAATCTTACGACTAGATAACCTACATTAAACTGCTCCATATTAGAAAATTTTGATGTGAGTCAGCGAGCGCTCAGTCAGTCGCTCGGTAACGACTGAATTGCACAATCTTACGACTAGATAACCTATATTAAACTGCTCCACATTAGCTAAATTTTGATGCGCTTCAAGCGCTCAGTCAGTCGCTCGGTAACGACTGAATTGCACAATCTTACGACTAGATAACCTACATCAAACTGCTCCATATTAGCCGAATTTTGATGTGAGTCGGCGTGCGCTCAGTCAGTCGCTCGGTAGCAGCGGCGAAGGCAACTTAGATCGCGACACTGAAGGCCGATGAGGTCACGATCAGAGCTACGCTCTACACGCACGTCGTTTAGTCGGGGAAAATAGAGCCCGTCTTCCTGGACAATTCGTGTACCAAGGAAAGCCATTTAATGTCATGTTGATGTCCTTGCCACAGAATTATTGCGCTTAGCCATTAACAATTGAAAAATCTGCAGCAGAGATATGTTTCTTGTTATAAATACCTGAGCAGAGGATGGGTTACAGGCGCAATTAGGGAGGATGCAGGCGTGGTCAATAAATTTTATGAGCAATAAATACTCAATAAAAAGATGTACGGGTTTTCTTATGAACGAAATGCCCGGCAGAAGATGGATAGAACAGTGAATGAGTTTTACGTAGTATTCCTATTTACTTCCGTAAATAGACATTTCTAGCGAGCATAACTTCCATTCCTGAATTGCTTTAAAGTTAAAATATGGTAAGCTTTCGGCCTGAATTTTCCAAGTAAATTTATTATATTCCTCAGTCTACTATTCACATTGACTAGTGTTTTTTTCAACAGATAATTTTTTTTGTGGAAATTCTGGTCACTCCTACAATACACTGTAAATGTCTAATCAGGTTTCATAGCCAAAAGGAAACCAAGGAATAATCCGAGTTCGATCAGGTTATCATAATTCAAAAGACTTATTCATTAAATTTATTCACAGTTAAATTCATACGCGCTGATTTGTTGTCGGAAAGTGAGCTATTTATTTCTCAAGTTCAACTAAGGACAGAATTAAAATTAACAAACTCCACAAGTAAGAAACATCACCAAAAAGATTTAGGAGTTGGTAGTCGTACTGAAGAGTTTTCTTATACAAGAACAAAGAGTCAAATTCAAACAGAAAAACATCAAGAGCGGAAAAAATTCCCTGGATTACGAAAAGAAGACTGAAGTCACTGCTGGCAAACACACCCGGATCGTGTCTCTCGAGTCCACGACAGCGATCGTTCAAGACTCTCATGTTCACGAAAAAAATCACGAAGAATTTTTCCAAGACCACGTACAGTCGGAAGGCAGCGTTCCTCTTCCTCTCTTTCTCTATGTATAAA